ATAAATCACCCCCACCCAGAGCAAAAATTGTCTTTGGAAAACTCTGCCACTGCATCAATCTATTGTTTGGATATATGCATCTCCCCTTGTTTTAGATAAAGAAGTTTTGATGGTGATCCACAAAGGCTGCGCCAGCAAGGACCTTAAGAATGAAACAGAATTTATAACCTCTGGTGACCGACACTTTGCCATCCAGTTCAACGAGAGCTACTGTTTTGATGACCTTTGCAATGCGAAAACAGAAAAGAGGGAAGTTCCCAGGACCCCTATTGAGGACGGAGGTATTTTTTTAGTAGGAATTCTGACCGTTAAGGGAGAAATCACAGTTTCACTTGTTGTGTGGGTGGTGGCCAATAGGTTTTCAATAGCTTGAACAATTCAATTTTGTAGATTTCTAAGGCAAATAGCCCGCTTCCCCAAGCCTTGGGCTTGTGTGCCAAAGAAAGCTAACACGCTTCTCAATAAATGTACAAAAGAGTGTGCTTTAGGATGTGATTTAGCTGTGAGAGCATGGGAAAGGTTTGGAGGAAGCTGTGATGGGAGTGGGAACATGGAGTGACCTGTAGGGGAGGGATGAGCTGGGGGGGGGGTTAGGTGAGGGGTGAGTGAGAGGTAAAGGGAGGGGACTTGAGTATAATTGTAGCCTGAGTACAATTAAGGTACTGATTGCTTTGAAAAGCGCAAATTAAATAGGTTCACTTTGATATGCAAAGCAAACCGAAAGATCACCCCCAATCGTTATTGAAGAGACGGAATAATGGGGGGGGGGAATCCTATAAAAGGGAGTCACCCTTTTCCACCCAGCCCCACATTAGCAGCTTAATGGGGTGAGTGTTGCTCTACAGGCCCCTTGTTCTTCATTTTGATTTCCTATTCCAGCAGCTGAAGCAAGCGGCTCCAACCAGTGTTACGCAGGATTTGCTTGGGGCCCCGGTGAAACCGTCCAGCAGACTATGACATGCAGCAGGGGCTACAACCGGTGTTACAATGGCACCAAGAGCATTTCAGTAGGTGAGTTCGCCCTAGGAAATTTATTCCACAGCTCCTGGCCTAAAAAACATTTTGCCCCCTGCTGGACTTGTCGGGAAGCATGCCTTGCAATTAACTGTTCAACATCCCAACCTATGAAGGTGTCTTTTCCTTTGGAGATTAGGTGGGTGCAATGCTCAAATTATGGGATAAAGTGGAGAGGGAGCCTGAAATTGCTCTAATTTTACCATACCAATGCCCTCCTTCTCTTCTAAATACATTATTTAAAGGGTGTGTTTGTGCTTTAATTCAAGAAGTGATGGTTGGTGACCAGAAACAAGGCCTTCCTTCTCCATGATGGTAAATTGGCTATGGAATGCACCTAAGTTTTAGGCACAAAGTTAAAACAATTTCACCTGCCCACGTGTTAGAAACTCAAGATATATAATCAAAGTGCCAAATGGCTCCTTAAACCAAGGTGACAGTCGCAAAAAAGGAATGTCCGGTTTCCATTTGGGGGCAAGATGGCTCTAAAGTCTTGGTCTTCAAATGATGGACTGACTGTGATTGATTCTCAGTTAAACATCTGACTAGATCTAGGGACAGTCCACATATATCTTGGCCTATTCCTACCTCTTTTTCTTAATGGTGACACAGGTCATTTGTAACGTAAGAATATTCTTCACAGCAGTGAGCAGGGCAGTGGGATGAGGTAAGTGAAGACAAGCGAAAACAATTAGCTAGAACGTTGTTCGCTGCTCCTGCTCCTGAAAAAGCATTTTGGTTCCTGAAATTCATTCTGATTGTGCAGATAAAATATAACGGACAGAATTCTACAGGATATGGTATTAGTGTGTGGAAACAGTCGAGATCCAATGATCCTCAGGCATACACCTCCTCCAGTTGTTGGAGATGTCAGGTGCCATCCTGACACTTGGTCGCAAGTGGCCAATAGCAGATGCAGAATGCAAACTGTTCTGCCTTCTTCTCACTTGAAGACTGCTTTCTTGACAGCAGCCTTTGCAAGCTCTAGTGCCCTCTAGAAGTTGGCTGGGGCTGATGGCAGTTTGAGTCCATGACATATGAATGGCACCAAATTAGTGAAGCCTGATTTACAGCTTCACTGTGGTACTCTCTCTAGTTTAGCAATTGTCTCCTGATTTATTCCCCTTTGAGGTTCATCCACTGATTGCAGGGGGTGTTTTGATGATGTGACATCTTAATGGTGCCTAATAATAATAATAATAATAATAATAATAATAATAATAATAATAATATCATCACCTGCAACCTACTTTGAGAATATTGGCACACTGAAAACTGGGATGTGACAAGCTGCTTCTAAATGAAATAAATGTATCTCACCCCTGTTCAGATGTGCCTGGGGCCCCTTGATGGAGATGACATAGATGTATTCCTTTTCATGTAACTACAACAACAACAGCAACAATTTTATTATTTATACCCCACCCATGTGGTTGTGTTGCCTCAGCCATTCTGGGCAGCTTCCAGGACATATAAAAACGTAATGAAACATCAATCATTAATAAGAACAATCTGATCAAATGTAAAAAAAAAAAGCCACAACAACTTTAAAATAAACAACTTATGTGCAAATACGATTTATGTTTGTGGCCAAAACCAATACAAAAGATAAAAGACATAAAAGAGAACAAAATACATTGCACAGTTAGAATAAATATTTAATAATTAATTTAATTTAATTTAAAAATAATTAAAATTAAAATAATTAAAACCGAACATTATGTCAGTTCAGAGTTTGCTTCTCTGAAGAACTTACTCGCACAGATTTTCACCTCAGAATTGCCACTCTAAGGCAAAGCAGGCCGCTTTTTCAAAGATGTAGGGGGACCTGCCCCCTAATAAAAAGTTAGGCACGTTTTGTCTGAGCCTTGGTCACACTATACTCATGGGTGTGGGCTACCCCTCGGGCTCTACGCTCTTCGGGATTCTCTGTGGCGTCCTACTGCATTCTGGGAGAAGAGGGGCAACAGCCCTCATGCCTAACATTTTGTGCCTTTCTTGTCTTCCCTTCCCTTCCCACAACAGGACCCCTTTTCGTATCCATGATCTTCAGGACCTGCCAGCGTCCAGCCTGTGATGTGTCTGAGAGCCAATCCTTTGGCCCTATAAATATCACCAGCGAGTCAGGGTCTTGTTGTTCAGGCAGCAGTTGCAACGAGGAGGAGGTTGGCATTCTGAACAAGGGAATCAACCCAACAGCTCCTGTCAAAATAGATTATGATGTGAGGAACATCGCCAACCCAAACCTCTTTTATGATCAGGATGAGGATGAGGATGAGAGTGATAAACTCATACGTACAGAATGGCTTGTCCCCATGCAGTCAGGTTCCCAAGGGTTCAGCCTTCAGCTTTGCCCTCTCCTGGCAGCCCTAGGAGCCACCATCCTCGGGATATGGGGGTGAGGAAGGGGGTTTGGGAGTACCTGAACTGCCAGCATTTGGGTTTGGAAGGGCTGTGTTGTGGAGCACAGAGGAAGGAAGAAGGGAGGGGAATTAGTGCTCCAAGACAGTGATCAATCCCAACCAATTGCATGTATGGCTCATATATTTAATAAAATTTTATTTTGGATGGCCACCACCTTGGAGTCGATTCTCCCTCCCAAAACCAAGCAATTTGTTTGCTTCCCAGGACCCCACATATTTGGGCTGTGATGGCAACATACTAAGGGCTATACCCATTTCAGTTCTACTCAGGCAATAAACCTATTGAACAACAATGCTATTATAAGTACCTGGGCTTGGGTTTTAATTCAAAACTGTCCTGGAAGCCACACCTACTTGCAGCTAAATTGAAACCCTCTCACTCTATTCACTCTTTATTATGGTTTTCCAGAGTTTGGGGGGGGGGCGGGAGTTTAGTTGCCCCACAGCTGAGGTATTTCAAAAGAAGATTGTGCCACAATTATTGTATGGTGCAGAGATTTGGGGATATAGTAATGGCCGCCCGTTAGAAGTGGTGCAGAACTCTTTCCTGAAGTCACTGTTGATTGTCCCCAAAGGTACACCGGCCCCCTTTTTAAGAGCTGAACCAGGGCTAATCTCCTGACAAACTAGTGTACATGTAGCACTAACCCTATACTGGCTGAAGTTGGCTAGCATGAGGAATACTAGGCTCCCTAAAAAATGCTTCTTAGAGCAATTGCAATCTATGCCCCAAAGCTCTTGGGCAAACTCAGTCAGTAAGATTCTCCATTATTATGGGATTAATGTGGAATCCCTACCAAATTTTGACTCTAACGGAGTCAAACAACACATCAAAGAAAAAATTTATTCTGACTCTAAATAGAGGAACCTTCATTCACTTTCCCAGATAGCATACACATCGTGGTATCTAATATATAAAACATATTTTGGGCTGGAGGAGGACTTTATTAATCTCATGCTGGAACCATTTAGAAAAGCATTTACAGCTCTGCGTCTTCATTGTACGCCCTCTGCATATCTAATTGGAATACCCTGTGTACCAAAGGCTCTGCATCTGTGAGTCGTGAGACATGGAGGACATTCAACACTATTTGTTATGATGCCCTTTATAAGCCCTTGTCCCCTAGACAAGAATTCCTCAATTGCATCCTTTGCTCTCTTTCTAACTGAACTCCCCTTGAGCGAATCTCTATTTTGCTGGCTGGCAATAACTTATTTACTACTGCACTGGTTGCAAAATTTGCCTTGGCTGCAAGTAAGTTGAGAGCTAGGCACCAAGACAGGTATCATAAGGGGAATGTGAGAAGTGGAGTGCTTAACTTACGCAGGTGTAATTTTTGCATTTTTGTATGTATGCTTTGCTATTGTTGTTGTTGTTGTTCAGTTTTAAATCAGTTATTTGTATTCTACGCATCGTGACCAATTGTGATGGCTTATAGCTTTTTCCAATAAAGATTTCATTCATTCATCAGCAGATCCGAGCCACTGAAATCAATGGACCCAAGTTAGCCATGCCCATTAACTTCAGTGGGACTACTCTCCATAGGACTGGCATTGGAGACAACTCATGAACTACACATTCAATATAATACTATAGATTTTGTGGTACCCCTAAACCCTAGAAATTAATAAATGCTAAGATGTTGATTATTTGGGATATGAAGGGAGAATTGAAGCTGCAGCTACATCAATGATTTTCAGGACCTGCCAGCACCCAGCCTGCATTGACATGAGAACTGATTTCACCAGTAATATAAATATCACTAGCGAGTGGGGGTCGTGTTGCTCTGGCAGCAATTGCAATAGCAATATAATTAACCCAACCAATTTTGGTGTGAGGAGCACCACCAACCCATACCTGTCTTATGATCATAATGGGTCAGGTTTCCAAGGGCTCAGTCTTCAACTTTGCCCTTTCCTGGCAGTCCTAGGAACCACCATCCTCGGGATATGGGGGTGAGGAAGGGGGTTTGGGAGCACCTGAACTGCAGGAACCTGCATTTGGGTTTGGAAGGGCTGTGTTGTGGAGAAGGAAAGAAGGAAGGAAGGAAGGCGGGAAGTTAGGGCTCCAAGACAGTATCCTGTTCCAACCAATTGCATGTATCGCTCATATCTATAAAATAAAATTTTATTTGGGTAACCACTTCCTTGGGGTCTGATTCGCTTCCCAAAACCAAGCTATTTGTTTGCTTCCCAAGACCCCACAGATTTGGGCTGTGATGGCAAGATACTAAGAGCTATAGCCAACTAACTTCTACTAGGAACAGATCCTCTGAAATCAATGGACCCAAGTTAGCCCTGTGCATTAACTTCAATAGGACTGCTCTCCATAGGACTGGCATTGGAGACAACCCATAAACTACATCTTCAATATTATAATATTGTTATAGATTTGGGGGGACCCCTAAACTCTAGAAATTAATAAATGCTAGGATGTTAATTATTTGAGATATGAAGAGAGGAATTCCTGGACTAGCCTATGCAAAATGACCTGGCCAAACTAGGGCCATTAGGGAGCAATAGGGGTCTCTAGAGGGTCATTGTCATCACAAGAGAACCATCCTTCCCCCCTGCCCTGAGGTGTGAACAGAGACTGGGGGTTTGGAACGTTGCCAGGGGAACCGGGTGTGAGGTGACAGGAAAAGAGAGTTTTGAGCAAATGCTGCTGGGAATAAGAAGAAGGAAGGAGGACTGGGATCCATCTTGGGCAGGCTGGCTAAAGGCTGGCGAAGAGAGATGCCTTGGTCTTCCTCTTGAAAGGACTCTTCTGTAAGATCTGAACTCCCTCCATGCAGATTTAAGGTGTAAATAGGTGAATTAAGACTATTTATTAAAATTGCAACAATCTCCGTCTTGTCTCAATTCTCCAAAGGAACACAGACTCTGAGTCGGTGCCTGGAACCCCATGGGTTCTTGCCACCGCTTGGCAGATAAGGACGGGGGGACAACTTTTGTGACAATATCAAGAATGGTAATCCATTCGATCAATGGTAATCTATTCTACAATTCTGTGATTCTATGTTCCTGCCACTAGAGGGCAAAGGTAACACATGGCAGTTGTCCCCTGAATTCTTCTCCTTCCTTCCTTCCTTCCTTCCTTCCTTCCTTGAATAATCCACCCTTCATTCAACACAATGTAATAAAAACTACATCATATTCTTCAAACAGGAGTAAGACTAAGAGACGAGAATAATACAATGTTGTTAAGAGGAACAGATGCGATGAACTAATTGCAAATGCCTGGCAAATAAAACCCCCACAAGAGGGTTAAATGTTTGGCTGACCAACTCGGGGTTTACAATGATGGGAGCAGCATTTGGACATGGGGCACCTCAGGCCCGGTGGCTGAATGCGGCCGACCAAATGTATCTATGTGGCCCCTGGCTTTCCAAAGGCTGTACTCCTTATCCTCAAGTTGCAGCCCTCGCTGATCTTAACTTGCACCCTCCTCAAGTGATTTTGCAAGAATGACATGTAACTTGAACTATGAAATGCCTCTTGTTTGTCTGGAGGAAGGGTGGAGATGTGTGTATACAGGGATGTGGAGATCGAATGACTTTTGCACAGCTGGAATGTAGTTCACACTCCTTGCTCCTCCCACTTCTTTGCCTCTGGCTCCACCCACCACTGGTATAAATCCCTCCCCACACTGCCTTCTAAGGAATACAGTTCTGGGGCAGCAGGAGGGGTCCCCCAACTCTGTCCCACTCAGCTAGGTCATGGTGCAAGATCAGTCTTCCTTCCCTAGCCATGTCTTCAGAATTTTCAGCTCCAAACCAGAAGCCGTCCATCAAAGCAAGCACTTTTAATTTGATTGAAAGAGGGCCAGCTGGACTTCCGGGTTGACGCGATCGGCTAATGGCGGATTCCCTCCGAGCTCCGGAGGGAATCGGCTCTGCTGAAGACGGGTCTTACCGTGCCGGCAACACGGGGACCCATAGAAACCACAGGTGCGGATGCCTGTGGACTTGGTGACTCAGCGGGCACCTTAAGCGCCCTCCCTGACCCACGAAGAGCCTTTTTAAAGGCTACGGAGAGGGTACGGAGAGTGGCGTGGTGCTGGGAGTAGACCGCTACTTCAGTGGAGCGAAGCCGCGAGCCATGGCCGGAGAGCGTTAACTTTTTCCCGAAATTTGGACTGGAAACAAATACCCGTGAGTACAAGGAATTCGGACTTTAAAAATTTCTACCTTTAATTTGGTACGACCGGGGGGATGTGCTAAAGGGAAGTCCGCACCCCCCCTATCTACAAATGATCTAAAGCAAGGATCGGAGAACTAAGGTTGAGAGAACAGTGTGTTTTTGGTGTATGATAAAAGATATTCCACGAATTTGACAGAAGAAGTTTTTTGTGCTGGAGAGAAGAGAGGAGCGTTAGAAAAATTTGTGTAACCCCCCCCCTCCCGAACCCGGGAGCGTCTTGTGTGTGAGTCCTACGAAAAAGAATAAGGAGTTTGACAGCTGTCAAAGGAGCTGTCAAACGGGTGGATAAATTAAGAATTGCATTACTTAATATCTCTCTGGACTGAAGGTGTTACATTTTACTAGAAGTGGTTGGAAACAAAGTAATAATAAAAAACAAAGTAACGGACTGTTGGAAAGGAAAGGAACTATTGAGTAACTGGAATCCCCCTAGGGGGAACTAGTGACATTACAATGGCTGCAGAGGGAAAATTACTGGCAGAAATTGAAAGAGCTTTTTTTCTCGTGGGAATTTTGCAAGAGCAGAGTATGGCTATGAACAAAGAACTCACGACCTTGATTTCTAAAACAAACAACCCTGCCGATGGTACAAAGGACTTGACTGGGAAAAAATCTGCAGCTGAATCAGAAGCGACATCTGTGGAATTGGTGGAAAAGGAAGAAGGAGGGGAGAAAGTATTGGCAGAAAATACCAAGCAGAAGCCTATGTTGTCAGAAAATGAAGCAGAAGATTTTTGGATTACAAATTTGGGATAGATGAGAAGGATGAGAAAAGCAAAGGAGGAAGTCTCTGGATTTTTTGGAAAAAGAGCAAAGAAATATGACTGGGACTTCCTCTTCTTTTCTGAGTTTGAGTACGGGAGATCTATGGTAGATCTTTGGCAGCAAGTTCTTTCAACCATCTTGGGCGCAAGAGAAGGAGATGTGGCTGTGACAGATTACCCTCGAGACCTGAGGTCCAACAAAAAGGACTACCAACAAAACCGACAGAGAGAGACTGACAGAGATTTAAAGGCCTCGGATGTGAGGAATCCGGGCTAGGAACTCTATGGGTGGATAATTATTTGGGAAGGAACGGAAACCGGGGTAGGGAGGGAGGGGGAGAGCAGAAGTTGGAAAATTTATGACTTTTGTGTTTGGTTATTTTGACTCATATTTTAATATAAAAAAGGGGAAATTTGTGGATGAGAAATTAGGTCGACCTTAGAAAAAAGGATTTGATGTTAATAAGAGAATGGGATAAGTAAAATTTGACTTAGTAAAAAGAAGCAAGTTTAAAAACAACAGATTAGGTTAAAGGAAGGGACAAAAACTTGCTGAACTAACTTTGGAAATTGGGATGTATGAGGGGGGGGTGGGGGGAAGTCAGGGAAAGAGGGATAAGAAAGTAAGGGTATGAAATTATACGTGTTTTGTCTTTGTCTTTTTATGTGTGTGTTGTCTGTATAAAATTTGAAAACCCAATAAAAATTTTAAAAAAGAAAGAAAGAAAGAGGGCCAGCTGGCTGAGATGTCAGGTTGCACAAGTTACACAACAGCATGTTCGAAAGAGACAGGTTTCACTTGCAGGCAAGTTTATTTCTCAAGTTTACTGGGCAGGTTTCTAAGCCTGATCTGAATGTTACCCTCTGGGAGTGCTCTTCATTAAAGCAAGGGTGGAGAGCTGTGGCCATCCAGCTGTTAATGGACTACAAATCCCATCCTCCCTTCCTGTTGGCCATGCTGGCCCAGGCTGATGGGAGTTGGAGTCCACCAACATCTGGAAGATCACAAATCTTGAGTGATGTGAAAGGTGGAAATCCAACAGGGAAGCATATGCCCCAACTGTTCCTACTTGCCCGAGACAGTCCATGTTTGCAGTTCCCCATCCTTGGTAGGTCTTGAGAGTCCCATGGACTGCAAAAAGATCAAACCTATCCATTCTGAAGGAAATCAACACTGGAAGGACAGATCCTTAAGCTGGGGCCCAAATACTTTGGCCACCTCATGAGAAAAGAAGATTCTCTGGGGAAAAACACTCTGATGTTGGGTAAGATTGAGGGCACAAGGAGAAGGGGACGACAGAGGACGAGATGGCAGTGGACGACAGGAGTGCCTGGCGTGCTCTGGTCCATTGGGTCACGAAGAGTTGGACATGATTAATCAACTAAACAACACCAACATCCTTGGTATATCACTGTCCTCTAATAGCCCTTCAAAGAGTGGAAGGGAACCTTCCTTATCCTGGCCACGTTCGGAGGGTCATGTGCCATTGGTGGGCAGGCCAGAGGCAGACATTGGTGGGTAG